CTTTCGAGCACGAGGTCGTGGTGGAGGCAGGGGCAGGTCTTCTAAACCACGACAATTAAAAAATCATTATCAATGCAGTTATTGTAACAAGTTAGGGCATAAGGATGCTTATTGTTGGGCAAAGCAGAAGGATGAACAGAAGCAGACAAATTTTACCGAGCAAACCGAAGAAACAAGCAAATTATTTATGACACATTCATTAATGTGTGGTGATGAAAATAAAGATATTTGGTTTGTGGACAGTAGTTGCTCAAATCACATGTCGGGAAATAAATCTTTATTCAAAGATCTTGATGAAACACAAACATGAGAAGTTCGACTTGGTGATGAAAAGAAAATGAATATTGAAGGAAAAGGTACAAATATTTTGAAAACAATTCAAGGTGATTTTTGTCTTCTCCATCATGTGCAATTTGTGCCTACATTAGCTCATAATTTGCTAAGTGTAGGACAATTGATTTCAAGTGGCTATTTGGTTATGTTTGATGGCGAATCATGCATTATTCGTGAAAAAAAATTCTTGTCAGACACTAGCGACTATCCGTATGACAAGAAGTCGAATGTTTCCATTGGATGTCTCTCGATCAGTGGGCAAAGCTTTGGTTGTTAGGAGAAATGAAGAATCAAATATTTGGCACTTACGTTATGGCCATCTACATGTAAATGGTTTGAAGTTGTTATGTCAAAAAGAAATGGTGGTTGGATTGCCAAATATTTCAGAAATTGATGTTTGTGAAGCATGTGCGTATGGAAAACAGTCCAGAGGTTCATTTCCTAGTGGACGATCTTGGAGATCTTCAAAGTTCTTGGAGCTTGTACATGCTGATTTATGTGGGCCAATGCAAACAGAATCTCTTGGTGGAAGTCGATATTTTCTCCTGTTTACTGATGACTATAGTCGTAGGACTTGGGTTTATTTCTTGAAACTCAAATCTGAAAGTTTCGATAACTTTAAAAATTTCAAGGTTACGGTGGAAAAGCAATGCGGAAAAAAGTATTAAGGTGTTGCGCACTGACAGAGGCAATGAGTTCTTGTCTAATGATTTTATCTATTTCTGCGAAAATCATGGCATTCGTAGGGAACTTACAGCGCCTTATACACTGGAGCAAAATGGTGTTGCTGAAAGAAAAAATAGAACAGTGGCAGAAATGGCGAGGAGTCTTTTAAAAGCTAAAGGACTTCCAAATTCTTTTTAACAGCCGGGTATTTATTAAATATATCTCATACGAAGGATGTTTTGAATAGAACACCATATGAAGTTTGGAATGGTAGAAAACCCCGGGTGAGCCATTTAAAAGTTTTTGGTTGTCCAGCATATGCTTTGATTAATCTGCATTCAAAACTAGATGAAAAATCTGAGAAGTGCATTTTCATCGGTTATTGTCCTCAATCAAAAGCATATCGTCTGTATAATCCTATAAATGGCAAAGTGATAATAAGTAGGAATGTGGTATTCAATGAAGAGGCTGCATTGAAGTGGAGTGTTGACAAGGATGGTGTTATTAAATTGGTTCCTGCAGATTTCGATGAAAAAGAAAGTGATGTATAAGGTGTTAGACATTTAGATCATGCACTTTTGAATGGCAGCATCAGCGTCTCGAATACGCCTGCACAACTCAGTTCGATAAACAGCAGCAGTACAGAATCCTCACCACCCTCTATCCGACACAACGGCAGCGCAGAATTGTCACCATCCACTGTCCAAAACAGTAGCAGCGCTGAATCGACACCAAGAAAATTCAGATCTGTTACAGAAATTTATGAATCATGTGAGTTTGCTTTGTTAGCGGCTGAACCTACATCTTTTGAAGAAGCTGTACAAAAATCAGAATGGAAAGAAGCTATGGCAAATGAGCTAAATGCTATTGAAAAAAATTCAACTTGGGAGTTGGTCGATGCCCCCCGTGATAAAAATATTGTTGGCTTGAAATGGGTGTTTCGTACCAAATATAATCCGGATGGAAGTATTCAAAAGCATAAAGCTCGACTCCTCACAAAAGGATATTCACAACAACATGGTATAGAATTTGACGAAACTTTTTCTCCAGTTGCTCGCTTCGAAACTGTGAGAATTATTTTGGCATTAGCTCCTCAGTTAAATTTGCCAATTTATCAATTTGATGTGAAGTCGGCTTTTTTAAATGGTGCATTGGAAGAGGAGGTGTATGTTTCTCAACCTCATGGATTTAATGTTATTGGCAGTGAAGATAAAGTTTATAGGTTACGAAAAGCTCTTTATGGGTTGAAACAAGCTCCTCGGGCTTGGTACAGTGAGATTGATTAATTCTTTCATATAAATGGATTCTCAAGAAGTGAGAATGAGCCTACTTTATATATAAAGAAGAAAGGTAATGGCGATTTCTTGTTGGTTTGTTTATATATTGATGATATGGTATATCTTGCATCATCAAATCCCTTACTTGATGATTTTAAGCATACCATGATAAGCAAATTCGAGATGACAGACCTTGGGTTGCTAAAATATTTTTTAGGACTGAGGTTATTCAGAGTGAAGATGGAATTTTTATGGATCAAAAGAAGTATTCTACCGATCTTCTAAAGAGATTTAACATGGTGAATTGTGAAGTTGCAGCCACGCCAATGAATATTAATGAGAAGTTACAGTATGAAGACGGGACTGAAAAAGCAAATGCAACATTATTTCGAAGTTTGGTTGGTGGCTTAAATTATTTAACACACACTAGACCTGATATTTCTTTCTCGGTTAGTGTTGTGTCTAGATTTATGCATCATCCTACGAAACAACATTTTGGGGCTGCTAAGAGGATTAACAACATGACCGTGTATAATTGTACATGGTCGTGTAACAACATGGTCATGTAAAATTATACACTGAAATATACATGGCCGTGTAACAATATGGCCGTGTATAATTGTACATGGTCGTATAATTTCTAGGTCAACTGCCACGTCACATCCGTCATGTCCACGTCAGCAATTTCCGTTAGTTTTTAACGGTTCGACCAAAATTGATTAAAATTGTTTTTAATGAGACCAAAATTGATTGAAATTGTTTATATTGGGATTAAAATTGATGAATTTTTTATATTGAGACCAAAATTGATAAATTTTAATTATATTATGACCAAAATTGATGAATTTTTTTTATATTGAAACCAAAATTAATTTTTTCCCTTACTTTTATAATATACTAGCTTATTGCATACCAAATTTTAATGTAAAAAAATAAAACAAGAATGAAAACACAAACACCTATAAATTTGTCATCAAATCCTCTATTCTTAATTTTTTATATTCCCTCGATGAAATAAAGATATATGATGAGAGAGGACATTAGTAAAATTTATGTATTTTTTTTAACTATAGTTTTATTATTTATTGTTTTTTTTTTCAAAAAAAAATATCTTTAATAAAATCTTATTTATAATTTTTCTATCTTAATTTTTATTATATTATTTTACCATAATGTTCAAATATTGTTTAAACACAATTTTATGATGAAGTATTATACAAAAGCTTTAAATTTAATTTTTTTTTTATATATTCCTAACATTTAAATTCAAGATTTATAATATATTATATAATATAATATTTTATGAAAAAATATTAAAATTTATAATTTAGATATTTGTTTTATTTATTAAAATATTTTTTTCAAAATTTAAAAAAAAAATAATATTCAATTTTAATTTATTTAATCACATTTATCTTTTGCATCATTGTACATTAAAAATCTCATCATATTTGTATAATCTTCTGTACAAATATCCTATTAATTTTACAAGACACTAATAAAATTATATTTGCAATTTTTTCTTATTTTGTACTAAAATATAATAATTAATATTCAAAAATCAAATACAAAAAATAAATGACACCTTAGAGCTAGTTGGACGTAATACTTTTTTTTTACGTTACTTTTTTTAAAAAAAAAAATTATTATTTGAACATAAAATATTACACCCAAAATAAAAATTAATACTAAATTCAAATAAATTCTTCAAATATCATGTAAAAATTGAATCTAAATAGTAATTTAAACATGATATTTTGATAATAATAATAATAATTTCTAAAAGAAAATAAATAAAAAAAGAGAAAATAATATAATAAAAATTAAGATAAGAGTATAAATTTTATTTTATTTAAAAAACTAGAAAATGTTGTACACGTATTCTGTGGATGCAAATTGTATTTACACTTATGATATAGCATAGTTTATTACCATGTATGTATTCATACCTCCACCTATATATATATATATATTAGTTTTGAATGAAATAAACTTACCCCACCATTTTACTCAATTTCTCTCTCAAATTCTCTCCTACATAGCATACCTTTAATACATAACATATATAAATACACATATAGGGACAATTGTGTAATAATAATAAAAAAATATAGACAATTTTACAGTGACATGATTATTTATGTCAATGATACTATTGTTTTAGAACGGATAAAAATAGTAAACAAAACTATTGTATTAGGACGGAGGAATAGTAGTTAGCGGTAGACATAATTAATATTTCTATTGGCTATCCCTATTATAATACTCCCTCTGTCCTATATCTATTTGCTTTTTGCACAAAATTTTAGAAGTATTAGTATTATATTGGAATAAAGTAAAAAGGCTAAATTAACCCTATTAGTATTGTATGATATAAAAGTAATGACATTTGTATAATATACTAAATTGAAAAAGTATTTTGTAATATTAAGTAGATAGTACAAAAAAAAAATGGATACTTTGTTACGAGACAGACCAAATGAAAAAATAGATAAATTGTTAACGGAGGAAGGGAGTATTACAATAAGAAGTAAATAAAGTAAAAAATGAGAATAATAATAATTTTTACAAGAAAATAAATAAAAAAAAATGAGATAAAAAATAATATAATAAAAATTGAGATAGAATATAAATTTTATTTTATTTAAAAAAACTAGGAAGTAAATAAAGTAAAAATTAAAAGAGATAAATTAGCAAATTAATTAATTTATACGTGAAAAGCGGTTGTTCAAACCACAAATTACATCTCTCATTATACCACAAACATGAAAGTTTGCATTAAAACAGATGAATTTTATAAGAGACAACAACTAAGAAGAAGCTAAGCAGCAGGTAAATATTGCATGGATGGTGGATTACTACGCACAAAAATCACTCTTTTTCTTCCATTTTGTTATCCTAAAGTTGCACAACTCACAAAATTAATATTGATTACCTGTTAATTTCTAGTTCTAGCCCCATCCCAGACCCAGGGTCTATTGGTTACCTTCATCCCCGCGCGACTCAATATCCGTGCCTGAGTTGCTTTCTAATTTAGATACAATGTCCGGCCCGCATAGCTTTATTAATTCATCCTGTTTCAGCAGAAAATGCCATGATTTGGTGTATAAAACTGATCGAATTGCTACTGCTTTAATTCTCGTTAGACCCAAGCAATTAGCAATGCTCACATCGAAAGTTCTAAGTTACAAAACATAAAATAAAAAATTGGACAATGAAATGAGAAAAAGATGGGAACCTTTATGGAGTGATTCTCAGATGTAAGTTTTTGGCATTCCTCAGAAATCCTCTGCAACTCCTCCCTAAGAGTGTGATTCTCATTATTTAATGTTTCCACCGTACGCTGTAGATCTTCACACTCAGCCTGCAACATTGAGAAAAATTATAATCGAAGCATGTGCAGAGAAGATGAATGTTAAGAACATCCCAAGTAGCTTGTTTTTATTACACTAAGAAAAAAATATTACAACCAACTCCTATTTTCCACATGAGAATAAAACCTTCTCCTACTAAAATACACAACCAACACGTATCACATCCTACACATATTTTGTATCTTTATTGCATCCAATGGCCTATGTTCAATCAGTTTGATGAATAGAAGTTCACTAGAATAAATCATAAAAAAGATTAGAAATCTTAAAGCCATGCCAGCAAGCATTTAAATATTCCCAGTAATTGTACTGCAGGAAAAATGAAATGGAAAAATATATTACAAGGCAATTATTTTACACTCTACTACTCCCATGGTCCCAATTGTTTTTGGTCATTATTACTAATTTGGAATATCCCAAAAATTTTGCTGTCTTTTCTTAGTTTCCAAGAAATTATATATAATTTATAGAACATTTCAAACAAAAAAATAAGGACAAAATAGTTCTAAAGCAAGCTCAAAACCTAAAATGCCACGCCTAAACTAAAACATGAAGAAATATTGGGACAGGGAAGTATTTCACAAGGTACAACTTATCAGTATCCACACAAAATGATGAGAATGAATCAGAGTCATAATAATAATAATAATAATATCATCAGTGTTATTTCTTCATACACAATGCATCTTTAACCATACTAACTTATGTGATGAAAAATTTGTACAAACACCAAAACGAAATAATCTAGAAGACTTGTGGCCTTTCATATCTTAAATTTTTTGTGCACTTACATGTACTAGTGTGTGAGAGGATAAGATGAATATATGTGTATACAGAGATATCAGGATAATAACTTCACCATTAATATTTGCAATGATTTGATTTCATTTTAGTTATTGTGGACAGGTGTTAGTAAATATATAAGATAGAAAGTTATTGTTTTAAGTGTATTTAGTAAGGGAAAGAATCATGTCCATCATTAACTAAAATTCAGAAGTTGGACTCATGGTGTAGATGGTGTGAAGTAGATAACTCTGGGTTGCCATCGTCTTGTCTCAACCCTGAATTCTCTTCCAGAAATAAGACAGGTTGAAGTGAGGGTCTGTCATATCTTCAACTTAAAGCAATGGTAAGTAACGGTACCTGTTTCCGCAATCTTGACCTCCGTGCAGATTCCCGGTTAGACTGCTTTCTTTTTTGTCTTTTCAATTCTCGATCATCCTGTATAAAAAAAGTCAACTCTAGGTGTGTCAAACCACAAGTGAAGTTCAAAACTAATCTGTATAACCAGATGCAAATTATGAATCTACTATCCAAACGATGAACTATTAAAACCGCAAAAACTAGTTTCAGAAAAAAAAATTTTAAAAAAAAGAAAAAGAAAAAGAAAAAGTTTGTTTTGTTTAAAGCATTTTAAGAAAGGAATTTGCAGCTTTTCATAGGGTTGCCATACTAGTTTTGTTGGCGTTCGCAATCCTAATCTGCGTAGATTTAGAAGCATTGAATGCAACACCAATTACCCAAGAATTCAAATCCAAGTCTTAAAATGCAAGATTGATCATGCACACAAACAAAACTATGTGAGATTCCAATCCATTAGCAACTCAAAACAGGAGAGTTAACCAACTAAGGACCAAAAGAAAAATGAAAAGGTCCCTTTTAAGTACAAGGCAAATTTTATATATATATATATATATATATTGGTATGCATAAATATACACAATCATATCAAATGCTACTACACATTCAGGGTATAATGGCTACAGAAGAAGTTTTAGACCGTGTATCGCCAATTTTCAGAAAGATTATTTACATAATACTTACAGTTTAGTCGCTAGGTACTATAAACTAGAAATTACGGCTAAAATGGGACTTGATAATTCAAGGAGAGGAAGCAAGAGACAGATGATAGCCATACCTGAAGCCACCGATCATTCATCACTCCAGATTGACCAATGGCTGTAGAAGCAACAGGTACATTTGGATGCATTTTCATCGCTGCAGAACCAGAAGAAGGATTCCACAAATCCATAGCAATGTTCAGATTAGCTGCTGGCACAGAGACTACAGGATTACCAGGTACTGAACTCTGGAAACTAGTTGAGGCACCATTACTCTGACCACTTGCCCCTGATATTCAGAAAGCAATTACTAGATCCGTCGTCAGAGGGAAGAGTGCACAAAAGAACTGAATAGCCCTTACCATCAGCAAGCATTTGATCAAAGCTTCCTTTCTTTGCTGCAGACAATCCCTAAAATATATAACCATCAATTGTCAATGCAGACAACACATTTCTCATCATAGTAAAGAAATTTTAAGGTACTATGACTCAAGTAAAAGAGCAAACGACCAACTTCCTAAACTTTAGTATCAATGTCCAATAATACACCTGGTTATTGTCATCATTACTTGCATCTGATGAACCCTCACTCCCACTTTCAGCACTGTTCACAAGAGAGAGATTATTGATGTGTAATGACTAATGAGTAATCAACATAGATCACAAATCACAAATGTTATAAATAAAGAGCGCTCAGATACTATATGTCTCAAACCACCTTTGAGTACCAGCATCATTTCCAGAGCCTGAAGCAACTTTTCCAATGTCTCCCATCTTGCTACCAGCCAAAACATGGTTTCCAGAAGTCCCTTTGATTTGTTTCCCCAAAGCATGGTCCTTCCCTACAGTGCTCTTCCCATCCAAATCAGCAGTTCCAGGAACAACACCTGGCGCCTGCAAGGACAACAGACACAAGGAAATGCAAACCCTTTAAAGCACCTGACACGTGATAGTTCCCAACATAAAATTATCGTGTCAATGGCATTTGAGTTTAAATTGGATCCTAACAAGTTCTTGATTACCGTAACCATATTAGGATGAGTGTAGACTCCGCCAGGAGGATATAAAGCTGGGTAAGGAACTGGGGTTCCATATGGAGGCATCAGAGGATGCTGAAAAGTGATTTGAAACATTAAACAAGTCACAGTGAAAATGATGAGAGAAAAATCAGTAACTACTTATTTTCAAAGTACACAAGTGAAGTTTAAGTATTCAGAAAATAACCTGGGTTCCCCACATGTAGGGGTGGGGAGTGGGTGAAGCAACGGTAGAAGCAAAGAAAGGTGGAGCAGCTCCAGCACTATAAAAAGCCTATAAGGAAATTGTGCCGCTAAAGATACCTTCATGAGAAGCAGATAATATCCAACAGCAAATGAATAGATCATAACCTGCATAGAGCTTTGCCAATCAGGATAAGCGGGTGTAGTAGGCGTAACTGGTGCTTCCTGTTAAGATGATCAACAATTTCATATGTTCAGTTGGTTTACTCCATATATGCAAGCAGATTCGAAACATAGGACCCTAGAAGAATTTTAATAGTGTATATGTTAACAAATAGACTAGAAAATAGAATTACCGGTGCTGAGGATGAAGGTTTGGAAGACTTTGTTGGTGTGCTTTCTTCCCCAGCCTCCATTAGAGTAGTAAATAGTAGATTCAACTCTGTACCTAGTATTGGCTGTTTGCAATGGGATCTTTGGATTGTCAACTAAAAGTCGAGAATCTGCAATATTCCAAGATAGATACTCTTTACTTATAACAAAATTCTTGATTTACCCATGCAAGATGTAGTAGCAAAAATGCAAGTGTAATATCTGTGGCCTTTCAGGAGCATTAAAGCATACTGTTTTGACTATTTTTATGTTGAATTAAAAATGAACACCCGGTGACATTGCATGATAGCAAAAAATTGTAAGGACAGAGGACTTGGAGGCAACTCATTCAGATAAAAAAGGGCACACCAATGCATGCTTATTTGTTCATCAGCTAGTTATTTAATGGCAGTAATAACGTGTATATTTCGGAAGATAAAGCATAGAGCATCCTAGCAATGCCGATGTTCTTGCGCAACAAAGTTATAATCACTTACGAACATGAGGGCAATTTTGATAAATTGAAAATGAAGACAGATACATCTACAGGGTTAATCACCCATCCCATGCCAACGTCGTCCAAGACAAAAAGGAGAACCGAACAATCTTCAAACCCTAGTGACCTCTAATATGCCCTAGGGGTTGGTTCACAAACAATCGGACTACAAGGCCTTGTGCAAAGGGCCATCTGTGCTTCACCACGTACACACATGGATTGGCAATCTAATTGGTGGCGGCTCAACAGTTAGTCCTGAAGATAATAATGGCCTTGCCAACAAACACATCTGACTGCCATTGCTGCACTATAGCAACTAGACAACCTTGGACTACAAGAACATGAGATTATAATGAAATATTATGAACCAAAAAACTGAATACAAACACCTGAAAATCAATGGGGAAATAAATGAAGTGGTGGACTCAAAATAGGAGTTAAGCGCCATCTGCATGTCAAAAACATATAAAAGTCAAGTAAATAAATCACGCCGCGGACACTTTTGAAAAAACCCCAGTATTTTCCTCAAAGGTTTAACAACAAAACCACCTAGAAGAATTGAAGGTGCATTCATTGTCAACTCTCAACATTCGGTTGAGTTCAATTTGCAATTAATGATCTGACTCGTTTAAGGGTGTTAGTGAGAAGATTGAAAATCATCACAACAGTGGACGTTTCATTTAGTTGTAATACGAGCCCTACAGCCAATGGCAGAACACATTCACTCCCATGGTATAGAAAAAAATACCATGAACTATATAATCTATGCACTTACATAAGCCTATCAAGCTCCAGCCAAACAAGGTATATACAAACTATAATGAGCTTATTTGATTGAAGATCTTTAGTACCATGAGACATTTTCAATTTCTGCGGTTTTCACTTAGTGGTTTGTTCATAAAATCTTCAAAATTGCATTATGTTTAAATTTATGCATGTTCCAATTTTCATTGAATGGCATATAACTAAAAGCTTTAGGTTCTGTTATGCTGAGGTTTATTTATGTATTTATTTTTCCTTCAAATTTTTTAAAATTTTACTATGCTCACAGGTTCTCAATAAAAACATACCTATTTTCCATAAAAAAACATTGTATCCAACAACTTTTCACTAAAACCAAAACACAAAAACATAAAAATAAATATAAAGTAACCAAACCCTTAATGTTGAAATTTTACTTCCTTAATTTTAGGTTAGTTTGATTGGTATCATAGAGAAGATTCAAAAGCCTCCACAGCTTTAGATTATTCTGCGGAGTCGATTATTATGTTTACTTTTCTTAGGTGTGCATGAGGAAGTTCTTAGTATAGTTTTTCTTCTCATTGGCTGGGAACAACTATAGAAAGATTTAGATCATCAAAGAATGGTGGTAGTACAGTTAGTTCATTGCAGTACACATAACATATCGCCTTACGAATTGTCAAGATATACTTGCATCATATATATTAGCTTAAGCAGAACCTTAGCATACGCCTAACGTTATTTCACAATAGTGGGTTGTAGCAAGTTTTTCACTTACGATGCAGTAAGGAAGCATTTGGTATACAATAGAATTGCAGAGAAATGATAGAAGATAATGGAATTGAAGAGAAATAAAATATCAATAGAAAAAAAATGCAACTATTCGGATGGATCAATCAAGAATATATAATTAATCCGAAAAGAAAGTTTTAACAAGTGAGAATCCACGAAGAAATATATATGGTGGTTCGTTTTGTTTAAATAATAAATTAGATTCGATGTTTTCTAAAATTATATTCTAGTGTAATTTTTTAAAAAATCATAAAAATTAAATATTTGAATAATAAATTAAATGTGATGTTTTGTAAGATTAAATTAATATAATTTAATTTTTTTTATAAAGATAAAATAATACAATAAAATTAAAACAAATAAATATATTGCATCAATATTTATTTCTTTTATATCTCTGGATATGGAAGAGAAATAAAAATTATTTATTTTTTAAGTTTGATTTCTCTGACTCGAACAAATAAAAGAAATCTGCTCTCAATTTTCTGTACCAAACACACCCTAAGAAAAAAGTGTGTTGTCGCATCGTGAGTTTTCCGATTCCTTTTCCATGTGAATGGAAATGTACATTTTTTCCTTTATACTTTATACTTACGAAAACTCTAAGTGTATACGTTTAGGGATTAGCGTAAAAAAAAATTCTAGATTGGTGTAGTAAAGGTTACATAATTCTAAAATAATGTCTGCAATATTTAGTTGTTTAGGAATATCTTAGAGAATTAAACTCCAGTGATAGCTTAAATCAATCTCCATCATATAAGAGGTGGACTAGTCTAAACTAAATTTGGTTGGATCATTTGTGCAAAGCAACTAAGTCAATTGTAATTTCCATTTTCCAATACAAATCTTTATCTTAGAACTCTTGTGTCCCTTGTGATTTATCGTAGTGTTTGCATACAAGAAGACTATTATCAAGAAGGTTGACTTATTCGTTGAAACATGAGGCGGGTAAGTTCTAAATACCACACTCAAGAAACTCGTGAGGACAACAAGTGTGTAATAGTGTAAACGAAAATCTAGAGAACTCAAAGTTGATTGCAATCAATCAAATAAATATATAATCTGCAAAGCATATGTGATTTCCATACATAATAATAATAATAATAATAATAATAATAATAATGACATCTAAAACATAAAAAGACCAAAATGAATAGTTCATACCCGACCTTTCGTTTGAGTGGGGTTTCTCCTAGTAAAGTATTAAATATCCATTGAAAAATAGAAAGATTGATTAAAGGTAGAGCGAACTATAAAAACTTAGTGTGGGCTGTGGGCTGTGGATGAGAATTAATTTAACAAGTAAAAATTTATGGTAAGTTTAAATTCATTGACACATGACCATAAACAAAAACTACGTCATTAACAAAAAATCTTCCACAGTTTCTCAAATGAACAATGACAAGTCGGTAATGTTGGTAATATATTTAATAGTGCTTTGGCAAATACTTCAAATTTTCAATAATATAGGTAATGTAAACAAAGAGCACAGACATAAAAACAAAAAACGAAATAAATAAATAGAATAATTAGTACAAAAGAGAAGTAATAAATCAAAAAACCAATAGTTCTCTTCCGAATCATAAAACAAAATCCAGAAATATATATATATCATTTTTCAATTTCCATCTCTGTGATCAATAAAGCCACATGTTTACAATAAAAGTTTGATGGAAAAAATTACACTACAACACATGGACACACCAAATGTCTGTTTTCATGGTGAAAACCTAAAAGATTCACCAAGATACATGTTAAGTAACTATTCCACATTCTAATTAGTGAAGTCTACTACACACCACGCTCTTCAAATTGGCACATCATTAAGAATTAATCATAGTCTTGTTCTCGTAACTCACAGGACAAATCCATAAGAAAATGTCTTGAATATCAATAAAAGTGTAATGTACACCAGTAATATCATGGTAACAACAGTTCGACAAATTCTTTCATACCTCCCATAATTCTGCCTATTCACAAAACTTTTAGCAAGAAAACAATCTCTTACCGTCTATGTATCACCAACTAACAACTTGTGGTCACTTATTTCAATGATTTTATTAACATAGTAAGTAGTAAAAGCCAAACCCTAGCATCCAGATAACTATAGCCTCTATGGTCAGTGTAAACTAGTCTTTTGGAGCATACCAAACAACAAATGATAAAGCAACATAATGCCGATTTAGATATACCCTTACACGGAATCCAACTTAGACAGTAAATATAGATTGGGTCACTGCTACACGGAAGCCATGAACCAGACGAATAACAAAGCCCGAGTAAAGCGATAAAAAACATAACAACTCCTCAAAAATTGGCTCTGACCGACAAAGGACCAAACAAAATTCGTAGAAACAGCTAAAGATTCAATAGCGGATTTCACAAGCCATAGTCCGATTAACCGCCAAAATCAATCGAAAGCGGATAAAAAAGTATAATACGAAATCATAAAGTCTATGAGGTAGGCGAATTACCCAAATTGATTTGTAGCGTATCTCTTGGATGCCGGTCGGTGTGGCAAGGCCTCCAATGGCCGGTGGAGGGAGAGGTAGGGTTTTTGGGGTGTGACACGTGACTGAGAAAAGAGACCAACTGGTGGAAAGTGAACGGAGAGAGATGACGGGGCAACCAAGTATCTGCCTTTCTGGATAAATAGATAAACAGCTTCTAATTTTGCCACTTGCCCCTTTAGAAATTCACAATTCGCACTTTCAATCTTACTATTCCATCATTCTCATTTTAAATGATCCGTCCATCAAATTTATTGTTTTCATTTTTTTAGCCTGTCTTAGTCAAATTTATCTCAATATTAATTTTGACAAAAGTTAACAAATTTTAATTTAATTATTATCTTTTATTTACCACGTATTTACTGAATATATTATATTATTTGTTCATTTATTTTATTTTTTAATTAAATTTCAAAAATATTTTCAATTATCTATTTTTTTTTCAATAAAATATTTATTTTTTTAATTTTCTTGTCGGACCTAAATAAGCTAATTTTAATGGACGAAGAGAGTCTTTTTTTACCTTGGATTCCATATTTAAAATTTAAAACAATACTTCATCTTTTCCATATAATTTATTTCTATTTTTTATTTTTTTTTGTCTCACCTAATTTGACTTTTCTTTTTTCGTTTTACATAATTATACACTTTAATCATATTTTAAATTTCATAATTTATAATTTTTTAAATTTTAATTAAACTTATTAGTCATCTTAATTTTAATCTTAATCTATAATTATAATTATTTTTAGGGTATACTGTTTTTTTTAGTCGTGTAACTGGACCCCTTAGTCCAGTAATAGAGCCTGTCGCAAACTAGTCCCATAAGTGAAAATTTTTCGTTGTTTTAGTCCTCCGACGCAGGAGATGCCCGCGTGGCTCGCGGGAAGCCACATGTCCGCTAGGTGTTCAGACAGGTCAGCGACACCTGGCAGACACGTGGATTTTATTTTATTTTATTTTATTTCTAATTTTTTTTAATTTTCTTTTTAATTGGACCAAATAAAAAAAAATAAAAAAGACAAATAAAATAAAAAATCAATTTTAAATCAATTTTTAAAAAATGAAAAAAAATGGAAAAAAAATAATAAAATTCATGTGTCCGCCAGGTGTCGCTGACCTGGCGAACACGCAGCCTCCGCCGAGCCACGCGGGCGTCTCCGGTGCCGGAGGACTAAAACAGCGAAAACTTTTCACTTATGGGACTAGTTTGCGACAGACTCCACTTACGGGACTAAAATGATAAGGAGATCCAGTTACGGGACTAAAAAACAGTTTACCCTTATTTTTATTAGTAATATATTTTTTAATTATTTACTAATTATATTTTATTTAAATTCTCGTATCTACTGAAGACAAAATATATTGGACGGAGTGAGTAATATTTAATTTGTTAATAATAATAATAATAATAATAACCTATAATATTATCATCTTATTATTTTTTATAAGTGATATAGTTAGTAATTTTAAAATAAAAATTAATATATACTTAAAAAATTAAAAATATATATTTAAAAATTTTAAAAATTATATCTTAGTAAAATATAGTACTCTCCCTCCGTCTCAATACAATAGTCTTGTTTACCATTTTTGTCCGTCCAAAAATAATAGTTTTATTTCCATAAATAATCATATCACCATAAAACTATTCCTATTTTTTCATTTTTATTACACAATTGTCACTGCTTTTTATACTAATACACTCTCAGGGGCAAAAAAGTATTTTATCTATATTTTTTACCAACTACCAATATAATATCAATATTCATTAAATTTCGTACCCAACCCAATTAAAATTATAGTTATGGAACGTTGGGAGTATCTAATATGAATATCATTTTATAGAAAATAGAATTTTATATATAAAAATTAACATAAATAATTTTTTAAAAGATGGAAAGTTTTATATCGATAAAAATATTTATCTATTATTCAAAAAAAATCTTAAAAAATGTCAAATCAAACAATTATTTTTATTTTTTTATATTATATCACAAATTTATTTTACATTCAAAATATCACATCAATTTTTATTTATATCACATTAAATAACTATTTAGATTCAACTTTTTACTATTAAAAAATTCTAACCCGCAAAACAAACGCACCCAAAGAAATTTCAATGGGTTATGAAATTAATTAAATTTATTTGTATTTGTTAAATATATTTTGAATTAGTAAATTTTACTAAATATAAAAAGTGTCATTATAAAACAACTAAAAAAAAGTACTACTCTCTCCGTCCCGCAAGAAGGTTGCTATTAACTTTTTGTGTTCAATATGTAGTACAAATTAAGAAAAGAAAACAAAAATATGTTTATTAGTCTCTTATAATACATATACAATGATATTTATCGAGTAAATTATTCAAATATAAAGATATTTTTAATATTAAGTACAATGACGCAAAAACTAAATGACAGCCTTCTTGCGGGACGGAGGGAGTATTATTTATTATGGGATTGATGTAGTATTATATTAAGGGTGTGTTTCTTCAAACCCAAAATTGGGGTTGTCCACTGTGCGGCCTGCAACCTACAGCTTTTACTTCTTTTTCCTTTTTTTAAAAATTAAAATATAATTTAATATTTATTACTCTCTTCGTCCCACATAATTTGTTATTTCTTTTTTTGAAATATAATTATACATTTTAATCACATTTTAAATTTTAAATTTTATAATTTTTTAAATTTCAATTAAACTATTTAGTTATCTTAATCTTAATCAATAATTATTTTTACTAGACAATAATTATTTAGACTAATACACTTCTTAATTACTTACTAATGATACTTTACTTATACCTAAATTTTCGCGTCTACAGTAATATACACATATTATATGGGACAGAGAGAGTATAATTATAGGGGAAAAAAATATATACTCCCTCCGTCCCATAACAAAGTATCCATTTTTCCATTTTGGTCCGTCTCATAACAAAGTATCCATTTTTTTTAGTAACCGTACTATCTACCTAACATTACAAATACCCTTACAACTTATAATATATTACACAAATGTCATTACCTTTATATCACACATACTAATAAAGTTATTTTAGTCATTTCTACTTTATTCCTACTATATCCCAATATAATACTAATATTTTTAAAACTATGTGCAAAAAGCAAATGGATATTTAGTTCCGGGACGGAGGGAGCATAATATATATGTCATTTTGTAGAGAATAAAATTTTTTATAATACAAATAAATATATATGTTGAGTATAATATAAATTCATAATCAAATCATACAATATAAATTTTATCAATTAAATTTAATACATATTTATATGATTTTATTCATTATCCATCAAATCAATACACATCAAAACTTCTCAAACCCCAACCAAACCTAAACACAAAATAAACATCAAAATTCAAACTCATCCCAAAATTTAAATAAAAACCAAACCAAAACCAAAATTTCCCCAAATCCCTCTAAAGAAATACACCCTAAATCATCTTCAATCCATTATTTTATTTTCGTAACAATTATATTAAAAATGCAGTTAATATATAGTAATTTTATTCTAACCACATAAACGTCAATTTTTATTCTTAAAAAGTATATTATCTATATATTCCTCTTTCATATTGTTTTATACTATAATTTTTTATTATTTATAAATTACACCAAATTTTAATTTATCTTTACATTATCACTCAACATTTATGGAAATATATGTAAAAATAAGTATTTCCAAAACAAATAAATTACACATTATTTTTGAAAAAATAAAAATAAAATTACACATTACTTTTTAAAAAATAAAATTGTATATTACTTTGAAAAAATAACATTATATATTATTTTTCAAGAAATAAAAAATTACATATATCACTTTTTAAAACATTACATTATAGATTATTTTATTAAAAGATAAAATTATACAATACACTCCAAAAATAACAAAATTACAGAAAAAATTAAACTCAAAAAATGAAGTAGAACTAGTACTACTCTATAAATGAAGTAACACAGTAGCAAACTCCATTGATGCGGGAAATTAACAGCCCCTGATGCTTGTTTGATGTCAAAAATCTCTTTTCGCAAAATAATAGCCCGGGATGCAGGAAAGAACCTTTCGATGAACTTGTGCTTCATATCCATCCACGTGGTCACACTCCCGGCTGACAAGTTGAACAACCAATCATTGGTTGCATCTTTCAAGGTGAATGGAAAAGCTCGGAGTTTTATCTGCTCCTCATTGATTCCCAGTGGTTTCATGCTCGTACACACCATATCGAACTCCTGCAAGTGCTTGTGTGGTTCCTCCCCTACCAAGCCATGAAAAGACGACAATAAATATATTAGTCCAAATTTAAGCTCAAATTCCGTATTATCGGCTATAGCAGGAAAAGTAATACACAAGGGATACTGAATTAAATCGGGAGCAGCTAGCTCCCTAAGAGTTCTCTGTCGTTTCATTGAATGTATCACAACTTCTTCAACTCCCTTGGCCTCTTCACTCTCGTCGGAACTAGAAATGTTAGTCAGTTGGATAGCTAAGTCAGGTTTCGGCAGCTCAATTTCTTGCAAAATGTAGTAGTTCGGTAAGTAGGGTCGTCTTCACAGTGAACAATAACAATATTGAATATTCGGTTATTTATAATTATACTATATATATAATGGGGGGTTTTGATTTATCATACTAAATTAGGAGAAAATAAATTCGCTCAACTAAATAAACTAAAATAAAATAAAATGCAAGGCGGATTACCAAATATGATTAAACTCTAGCATAGACATGAATTTTCTGTTCGGGATATAAGATTTTGTTTATCGACTAAAAATCAAGTTCATTGACTTGTTTGATAAATTGGTTATAGTTGATCTACACGCATTCACACCTAACATTTCCTAACTTGTCGATAGCTAAGGTACGACCATTAGTGATTTCCCTAATCAAATGAGAATCCTAGGTACGACCGTAGTTTTACTGACTCGACAACTTTAAGTACTAGAAAGGCTCAATTCAATTTTACAAAATTCCTACGCGGATTTGTTCAAAATTGATTCTAATTCTTTCCTAGAGTATTCCTCTAGGTTGCTATACCAATTGAAAAATTACACAATTACGGGTGTCAATCTCTAATTTAGCTACGAAATCTCAA